GAGGAAAAGCTGATGGTTGCTAGTTGGGAGGGGGTGGGGATGAGAGAGAAGGGGAAGGGGTTAGACAGCATAAATAGGTTACTACAATATTGCCACAGGGATATTAAAGACAGTTCGGGGAATATAATCAATAATGTTGTAAACATTTTGTAGGGTGTCAGATGTTCACATGTCTTGTTAGGGAGACCACGTCATAGATGGAATAGAGGCTTGATCACTGCACTATACACATGAAACTGATTGTGTAATATTGTATGTCAACTATAATTGAATATATATATAGTCATGGGATGTGGAGTATAGTGTGGGAGTGGAGTCAATGGAATTGTAATAAATATGTATGATATGGGGGGGAATGGGGTGGCGGATTGGGGGAGAGGGGTTGTCACTTTGAGGGGTAAAAAGTATAACTATTGCACTGTCTCGTACACCTAAAACTAATTAAAAAGAAAAGAAAAGAAAAAGAAAAAGGTGAAGGAGAATATAATCAATAACACTGTGATAAGTTTGCATAGTGACAGATGATTACTAGAATTAGTGAGGCGATCACATTGTAAAATATAAAACTGTCAAATCATTATATTGTACACCTGAAACTAATATAACTAATACCATATTGTATATCAACTATACTTAAATAAGCAATTAATTAATTAATTAAAAAAGAATTAACCACTATTAAAAATAATAATAATAAAATAAAATAAGTTTTGATGACTGATGTTCCTCAATAAATATTGTATCAGATATAAATAAAGGAAATTCTTAGAGAAAAAAACAGAGTAAGAAACTAATTCACTTTAAAATTTATTATGAAAAAGAATTCAACCCAATAATGAATTTCTAGATTGTTCTCTACATTATATAATATAAACTCAGATATATTCTTAGTGAATAAAGGGTGTGACCAGAAGGAGGAGATGAAGCGAAAGCACAAAAATATAAGACGAATTCCACATTTAAATTCTCAAAGATACCAAGTGAGCTCTTCTATGATAAATAACAAACTACTCCCTTGGGTCATAAATTTGTTATGCCATGAAAATAAGACAAACTAGAAACAATCTCTGAATCAATCCTGAAGTTACTTCTAGAGAAAGAAAACTCTTAGAGTCTGTGTCCTCGTTCTCCCACTCAGTCCTCGACAAGAGCTTGTCAGAAGTCAAACATCTACTCTTTGAGTTACTTCCCTACAGGGATACTTGACCTGGATGTACACGTGGCCTGGGAGAGCCTGTGGTATGTAACAGCATCTAATTGAACTTACTCCTGTAAAGAAAGAATTTTGTTTCTGTTTTTAGTAAGTGCAAAAACACATAAGAACAAATGCTCAAAGGAGGCCTGCGGTACGGAGGGTGGGGCTGAGTGAGGGGCGGGGGTTGTGAAATAGCACACCTGCTGTTTTATTTATTACATGTGTTCATTCGTAGCTTTGCAAAGTCACTTACTGAAATATTAATTAAAAAGTCAAATAAGTGTAAACAATTATAGCAGGGTCGATTAGGAGCCCGTCCTCCGGAGCCCTGGTTGATCACAAGAAAGGATGACAGAAGAAGATTCTGGTTAATTGGAGAAGAAACAAAGACTGTGAGTGTATATATCACCACCAAATTATGCCATCTCAAAACATATACACACACGTAGTAGTTAATAGTAGCCAAAGAAAGATTCGTATGTCTTATAGATCCTTATTGACTCTAAACTGCCCCTTTCCTTCAATCCCCATCTTCTACCCTCTGCCAACACACAGGGAAACATCTAAATTCTGTAAAGACCCTGAACTGTTTCGTATCAATAAGAAAACCATACAAAACCTCCTAAGTGTCAACATAGCCAGAGGCCGAGTAGAAGAAGCAATGGCTGGAGAGGGAAAGTGGGCCGAGTCTTAAAACATCAAGGCTTAATCCTGTTTTCTCTCTCTCTCTCTCTCTCTCTCTCTCTCTCTCTCTCTCTCTCTCTCTCCATTATCTTTTTGACATCATTTCATTTGGCTTTATCCTTGGTCCACTCTGCTCCAGCCATGGCAGCTTCCTTCCTGTTCTGGGAACGCTCGAGTCCTTTCCTGATTCTGGGCTTTGGCCTTGCTTTCCTTCTACTTGAAGTGCTCTTCCCCCAACAGCCTCATGGCTCACTCCTTCACTTGCTTCATATCTCTGTTCCAATGTCACTTTATCTGTGAGACCAGCCTTCTTCAAAACCCTTATGAACACTTGGCATATAACAACATATTTTTAAGTGTAAGCTCTGCGCATACAAGACCTTCCTTTTGTCACTGCTCTAATCTCAGCAACGAGCAGATGCTCGATCAGTATTAGGAGAATTAAAGAGGAAGTAGCGAAGCTAAAGAGAACATACTCTCCCCTGGATACAAGCCAGGGTGGCTTTTATATGACTGAAAATCAATCAAAGGTGAAAATAAAAGAAATATGTCCATGATTCCCTGGAATCAATGTCTATGCTTATTTATTCAACAGTTTTTTTTCTTTTTCTTTTTTTCTTGGTAATGTATTGTATGGCTTCACTATCTTAACCTTTAAGGACCTAGCCAGGGATTATGAAACGATTTCAATCCAGCACTTTTCGATGCTGTAACATAACATATTATTTGGAAATATCCTAGATGGACAGAGCTGTGTTTATTCTGCTGACATTATTACAAACCTTTCATCCATTATTCCTTTTTAGCACAGTAGATGTCTACAAAGCAGGCACTGTATTTTTATAAAAGCTTAATCCTACTTTTTATGCCTTGGAGTCACAGCCCTTAAAATCATGTCCTTAGTAACTAATCATCACATAGAAAAAAACTGGGTTATCCCCACTTTGAGAGGTTACTAACCGGTAGGAGTATCTAGCTGACTTTGAAGACCTGATTCCTATCTCCCATCTAGTGCAGAAGCAGATCAAGAACAGACAGGCAGGCCACAAAAACATGAGCTGGACACCAAACCTCGTTTCCAAACTCTGAAAGAAGAAAACGTAGACCATGCAATGGCCTCCAAGAATTGCCAAAGGCTTTAGTTAATGTTTGCAAAGAATTCTCAAGATGAAAGCCAGCACAGAAGAGCTAAACCTTACTATTACCACAGCTGGAATGCTTTGCTCAGTGTTTTTCATTCTAGGGGTTGTGTAGTGATCTCTCTTTGTGATTTGAATTTGAACTTCTCTAAGGATTAATGACGCTGAGCATATTTTTCATGTGTTATTAACCTTTGTATACCTTCTTTTGTAAAATGTCTATTTAAATATTTTGCCCATTTCTAAAGAGCTATAATATTGTCTTATTGCGTTTTAAGAGCTCTTTATCCCAGATACAAGCTCTTTGCATATATATAGTTTGCAAATATTTTCTTCCAATTTGTGGCTAGCCTCTGATTTAATTAATATTATTGTTTGATGAGCAATATTTTTAATTCTGATGATGTCTAATTTATCAACTATTTTATAGTTTGCACTTCATGTGTTAAGAAATCTTTGCTCGACACAAATTCCCAAAAATGTTCTCTTAGAATTTTTGGTGTTACTTAATTCTTTTGTTTAGGACTATGGTCCACTTAGAATTAGAATTAATTTCTAAGTGTACAGTTTGAGATAAGCGTTAACATTCGCATACTTTCGTTACAGATATTCCATTATTTCAGTAGCTTTTTTTAGAGACTATCCTTTCCCCATTGAATTAGCTCAGTAACTTTGTCAAAAGTCAATTGATCATTTATAGGTGAGTTTAGGTCCAGAATCTCAATTCTATTTCATTTTCCATCAACTATTTTCCCCCTGACTATCGATCAGACTCTCCTGTTTCTTTATATGCCCAGTAATCTGATTAAAAACTTAGCATTGTATGTCATACATTGTGGTGATTCTTTATTCTATTTTGTTCTTTTAAATTTGCTGGTTGTCCTGTTTTATTATCTGATGAACTTGCCTGGACTCAAACTGAAAAACCTGTTTCTCTGTAGAGAGCTGAAATTTTTTCTCCTTTTTTCCCCCCTTTTTGCCTGGATCTTTGGGGGAATCTCTTGTGCCTGCATAGCTGTGTGATCAGCCAATGACTGCAACAGGGATTATATACAGACAAGTCAAGTCAGTGAAGCTTCTACGCTCTGCCACCCAAACTGTGCATGGGGTCAAGAATTCATTTAAATTTGCAGCAAATAAGTAAGTATCCCCAGGTGTTCAATTTTGCTTGTGCTGCCTAGGGAGTACCATGTGCACATGCTCTTTAGCAATCAGCTTTGAATGTGTGGAGATCATTTGATCTCAGCCCTACTAGTGCTCTCTGCTTCCAAAATTCCCCCCTTAAATTTCCAGCTGCTTTGATACTCTCCCAAACCAAATCAGCCACAGCTAGCTAGTAAACCTGTGTGTTTTTAACACCAGGCAGGTAGGGGTGTGGGGAAAGGGGGTGGGAATGCCCTCAGTCAGAAAGCATCTCAGCCAATGCAGTAGCAGTTTTTTATAAATAAACATTTCCAAGTTCTTTGATGTCTTTGATCATTTTTGAAATGGTTGCATTCAATGGTTTTTTTCCAGTTTTATACCTTTTTTTTTTAAAGTCAGGCTCACCCAGTTAACTGAGGCATGCAGTCACTAGTGGAAATAGAGTCTTACACCATATTTTAAGCACTTATGAATCTATTATCATTATCTCATATATCATTACATGAAACCAAATAAATTACTTCAAAACTTAGCCAACCACAGCAGGAAAAAAAATGCTTGATTGCAAACATTAAATTTCAGATCCAATTTCTATAGGGTTTTGGTAGAAACAGTGAAAGAAATCATATAATTAAGGTGACCATGGTGGTCTGTCAGCCCCACTAAAGGTCTTTAAAATATCCATGACCTACTAGGAACATTTGAAATACATAAAGTTTTTTAGACAAAAGAGTAGACTCAATTTTGACCCAGACCCCTGCTGAGAAAAAAAAAAGCACTACTGAGGACAGAGTATCTCCCTTGAAATGCAGAGTTCATTTTAATTTTAAGAAAATTACCTTGAAGGCTGCTAAACAATGAAGGCTCAGTAACGCCATCACAGCTGCCAGGAGGATGGTGGCTAAGTTCCGTGTGTCCCATAGGGTCTCTACCAGGGGAATACTGCCAACCTGCCAGTCATAGCACAGGGTGACAGGTGCCAGCAGAAGCCACACGTTGAAGGCCAAGAGGTAGGAATAGGTAAGGAATCTACAAAGAGAAGAAAAGGTGCTGAAACATAACTCAAGATCCGTGACATTTTGTAAACACTCATTCGCTCTGTATTCAATAGCATTTTTATACTGTCAACATTATCTTACAGGAAAAGGCAAGGTAAGATGGAGCGCCAGTGATTCCTTTAGTCATTAAATTGATCATTCTGGAATATATCTAATAGGTTCTTTTCATTGTGGTATATACTGACCTTTCAATGGTAACATATAAAGAACTAGTTTCTATGACATATACTTAAAAATTATCATACAAATAAATACATTATAACCAGAGATAAACGCTATGAAGGAAAAGTATGATGCAAGTATATGACAGAAATACTGCCCTGTTGGGTAAGATTTCCTGGGTAAGAGATATCTGAGTGGTCCCTTTTAATACTGCCCAGAATTCTGTAGTAGATATAAAAATATTCATTTGTATAACAGACTGACTATCATTGTCTAGCAGACTGATCCATATTGAATTATTTCCAAAATATCAAAGTATTTGTGATAGGGAGCTAAAGTCTCTTATTCACCAATGAAGGGACTAGCCTTCAAGAGAAGGCAATTACAGCTAGTTGTCCTTGCTCATAGGAATACCTGGTGGACCTAAGGAAGGAAAATGATGGAAACAATGGAAATGAAAATAAGGAAAATAATATCCTGTTTCTTGGCTGTGTCTAGGCACTAAGGTAAAATGGAAAGCATTCTAACTGACGCCCTTCCATTCGGGGAAGAAAAACTGAATTTATTTAAATTTGTTCCATCAACACAAATTTATGACCCTGGAGAATTTCAGAACTCTCAGCACATAACAACTCCATCCAAATCTCTGCACTAGGAGACAACCAAACTCCAGCATGACCGGCTCCTAGAAGTATAAGGCCATATTCCTAGGATGACGCTAGCCTCCCATTAAAATGCCAGCCCAAAAAAGCTCATCCTTGCCTGGAGAATTTACTGTTTGTTCTAGCTAATACCTGGGGAGAGGCCCCATGACCTCCCTATCTTAGAGTGTTTACTTCATAGTACTTACAATTGTGACTATGTATCTCTTACAACTCAGAAATATCTTTCAAAAGGACCTGAGAGCCATCACATTAAAATGCCATCATCAGGGAGGATACGGGCCTATCTTCCAGTCTCAGCGGGAGGACAGAATCCTAACTTCAAATCCTGTCAATGGCAGTTAGCCAGCCTAATCACATAAACACTGACCAACCCTTGGTCATTTCTCACTTCTCTGACTCTGTTGAGCCCCAACTTAACGCTCTCTCTCATTCTCCCTTAAAAATGTCCAATCACCTCTACATAAATCAGAGGGGTGCTTAGCTCTTCCCTGACTGTCCGCAATTCCTGAATAAAATCGATTTTCACGATGTCCAGCTGTGTTTATCTTTGACATGCTACATGGGGTTAAACAGAATAATCAGATACACTCCTTGTTGTCAAGGAGAGTACAATCCAATGGTGAAAACAAGAGGTACAGAATTACAGAATCAGAATGAGATGAGCACCATGAGTGCAGAATGGGGTAAAAAAAAAATCCTCACCCATTTGTCAGATTCTTTGGGAGGGATTCTTGGATTGGCAAAGAGGTTACATCAGAGAATTTGTAAGTTACCTTCCCAGGTATGTGATGAGTCAAGTCACCTCAAATTCCTCTCAGCAAGTAGCTACTTACTGGCTTGGAACATCCTTCCCAGGCCTTCCCAACTGACCTCCTTCCCTCTCCTTCTATCCCTCCAAGGCTGGCAGTAGAAAACCATTAACGGTGATCAGGTGAGGCTCAGTGATGGGGATTACTCATTGGCCTGACTCTCAAACCAGACAGAGAAATAGGATGAAGGGGTGGAGATATTTCAATGGTGTTTCCCAACACTCTGCTCCCTGGTGTTATTTTTAATAAAATGTTAATGTACCAATAGTGTAGTATATACTGAAATCTTGATGAAGTCCAAGCTTTGTTATTTAACAAAAATGAAAACAAAAAAAATTGCCATATCTCTTTTAGGCTTGGGCCTGAAGATTGTCTCAGGAGAACATCAACTCCACAGAAAGATATTGGGTCACTTGGGGCTTTTTCTCCTAGGGCTTCTAAGCTGATGCTCCCTACTTTTTTTCTTTTCTATTCTTTTCTTTTTAGCTCAGTAAGATTCTCTGTGACTTAGCTTTAAAGAATACTGAACCATCAAACTTAACGGGAAAATCATGAGCTTTGTCTCTCAATTACACTCCAGGTCTTAAAAATTACTTTAAAAAAGAATGTCTCTACTTCTTAATATAATAGTTACAAGCAATGATTATACATGGCTGCTAAAATTATTAGATGAGAAGTTGACAGAGTACTTTATAATTGATGGATCAGACTAAATCAGGTGCCTAGAATTTACTCATCAATTTTAACATTACAGAAAGGGAAGCTAACAGCCAGATGTCCTCCTGATGGGTATACACACAACCACCTATGAAGGATCTTGTCAAAAAACAAACAAATAAACTTGGATCTGCTCAAGCCCTTTATTACCAGTTTACATCAAACAGAAAACACCGGAATGCTAAATGACACCACAGGGATGCAATGTGCAAAATCCAGGATGTTGCAAATTCCAAAGAACAAATGATGGCAATTTCTTCAACAAATAATGGGGGGTAGGGGTGGGAGTGGCAGTGACAGGGAGGGTGGCAGAAAGAAGGCATCTATACATTAAAAGAGACTTAGAGACATATCAAACAACGTGCAGATTTTATTTAGATGCTAATTCAGACAAACAACTATTAAAAATACTTATGAGACAGAGAAAAATTGAAACACTGATTGAATATATGATATAGAGAATCAATGTTAATTTTTAAAGTGTGATGGTATTGTGGTTATATTTTGAAGGATCTTTGCCTTTTAGAAATATATACTAAAATATATGCATATGAAGTGAGATGATGTCTGGGATGTGCTTCAAAATGATGGAATGGAGGCAAGGGGGAAGAAGTGAGTGGGGATATGAATGAAGCAAGACTGGTCAGGAGTTATGGAAACTGGAAAACGGGCATGGAGAGAGTCTTTATGCCATTTTCTCTACTTCTGTATACATTTGATACATAATAAAAATTGTTTTTAGTGGAAAATATTTGAAAAGGCAACAGCATTGCAACAGGAACAGTTTTTTATGTCTTACTGTATCTTGGCCATGGAACAGCAGCAAACACTATGCAGGGATTTTTATTTTAATGTTAAATTTACATTTTGTTCTTGCCATACAAGTGGTCCACAGTTTCTCATATTTTCTAGGCTTGCAATACCATACTGACAAAAAGCAAATATAAAGAATCATGTTTTTTAAAGACATGATCTCAATGTAATTACTGAGATTCTTTTTTAAAAATGCTCGCTGTGACTTTTTACACAGATTGTAACCCAAAAAAGTTAAAAAAGTAAAGTAAACCACAGACTAAAAGCAATTTCCCCTTCCTATAGCACTAGGAAGGTCGAGACTATTAACTTACCCCAAGACTATTAACTTATCTCTCTTTTTTTTTTTTAAAGATTTATTTTTTATTTTTTATTGGGGAATTGGGGAAAGGGGAACAGACAAGTTGCTATCCTTTTGTTCTTCAGTCTAGTTGTGGAGGACGTTGCTTCACTGGCCCATGTTGGCACCATCATTGCACTCAACTTATCTCTTTTAATGCATATGTATTATCTGCAGAAACCCAGAGATATCACCTACCTTCTAGTGCATATGAATTCAGATTAATGTTGCTTAAAACCTCCTTGAAATAGTGAAACAGCATTGGAAAATTTTTGCAATTTAAACATAAAGAAGCCACTTGGAATCATGCCAAAACCTAATTACATTGTAGGGGGGCTAGTTGAGCTAGCTATAATCAGCAGCTAAAGTATTCCTTTTTAAATCATTGACTATAAATTACATTTCAAACTCATCATCTTGTTTATTTCTGCTAAAATTTCAGAAATGAAATATGTTGAATACTTCTGCCCTGCTGGGTTCTCTTTTTTTAAAGCAGGAGCAAAACCAATGGATTTTTAACTAATTCTCTACCATGAAGTCTGCTAACAGGAAGAAAGCCACCAGCCTATCTTGTCAACAAAATGGGATATATAGGAAGTCAGGAATTCAGCTTAAACTATTTAGTCATTCATGTATTTTCATTGATAAGCCAGGAAATACATGAAAGGGAAAGGGAAGAAGAGGCCATGGGGGAATTGGCATGTATCAAATAGTACCTAATGAAAGCAGGCGGCTCCTTAAATCTAAATATTCATTCTTATCACACACACACACACACACACACACACACACATTCCAGTGCTTAAGGTGCAAAAATATACATAGATTCTGTCCTTTGCCTTTGAAAACAACCTTTTTGGCTAAGAAATAAGGTAAGCCTAATATATTTCCTTGTCCTAGAAAGATGTCTATGACAGGTACATATGAAAAAATCACATACTGCCAGCAGAAATATACAGAACTTGCTTGTTTTATATAAAATTGTTACTGCTCAAAGGATCCTTCTTTTTCATCCACCAAAAGAAGTGCTTCATTATTTCATAACACAGGATGTTGGGTTGGCTATACCCACATCGCATCCTCTAGGGAAGGGCGTTGACTACACTGTCAATATACCAGCCTCGGTGTAAACCACCTTCACCACCACAGCGGAGCACCCCACCCTGTCCTGACTCTGCCTCTACCCACTACTTTCAGTGATCTGGCCTGCCCCTCTCTAGGCTGTCCCCTATTTTCAACTCCTGAATTATCACTGATGCTTCAAAAGGGCCTCCACAGTCTCACTGTGCCTGAGCAGTAATGAAAGACCTTTTCCAGGCATAACCTGCTTATATCACATTAATATCTTCTTTTTTTGCCTATCACCTTTCCCAGGACTAGCCAAAAAAAGCTACTTCCTACATTACACTTCTCCACAGACAGGAGAGCCTCAATGGAATTCAATAAACGTGGAATTATTACTCTT